TGCGACATGCCAGGCTGTAAAAAACAAGTCTTAACATGAGTATGTATATTTTTTAACCACTGCGTGAATGTACGCACAGTGAAATTTGGATTTTTCACACAAAAAAATTCAGAATGAGATTATGGTACTGAAAAAAAAAAAAAAAAAAAAAGAATCCTTAACAGAGGTGCCAACCAATTGGTGTTCATCTGTGAATACCCAAATCATCATGAAATATATTTCGGGAGTGAAAAAAGGGGGAAGAGCTGGGTGGTAAAACATAGCATCCCCAGCCATTTTCTTTATTACTGCAAATGATTTGGCAAGGCAGCATTTCTTGCATGAGCGCTTGTATGATATGGGGGCCTGGCACGGCAAGAAGGAGAAGCCCCCTCTTGCATCTTAGACGAGGCTCAATGAGAATGCATCGGATTGGAATGCCTCACCGATCATAGAATCAGAATTTCCTGCAAGGAAAATCTTTTCACGGCGAATTAAGGGGATGTAGGGGGAGAAAGAGGAAAAGAAAGAAGGGAAAAAGGTATGTGTGGCTCAAAAAAAACAGGGCTCTTTCGGCTTGGCGCGGAAGATTTAAGAAGTTTAGCTAAATCTAGGCAGAATAGAATGTGGAAAATTGAATTTACTGAACAATTAGGCATTGAATTAATCTTTATCCCGCACAGAAGACATCCAGCAGGAGAGAAATTTGAAGGAGAGGGAGGTGTTGAGTGAGAGACCAGGGTGGCTCATTAAGCGAACAGAATGAATCAAGTGTGAAGCTTTGGGTGCTGAGGGACACTCCTCCTTCTCTCTGTTTCTGTTTATTCATCTGTTCAACCTCTAAATTTAAATACACTAAAGGTGTCCCTCCTTTTTTGTGTTTTTAAAGTGTTGTTAGCACAGGTTGCGTGTCTGTTTTCTGTTCAAGGTGAGTGCTTTCTGTTAATATGGCAGGAGTCCATGTATTTGTGGAAAGTGGATAAAAAGTATTTGTATATGTGGGTGTGTTTGTGCAAGCTAAGTGACCAAGAGGAGTGTGTTTGAGAACACACACATGCTGCGCAGCCCTGTGTGCGCCGGTTGTGTTATCTCAGCCGTGTGTGTATTAATTTCGTGTTAGATCAGAGCTGGGCCCCGTTCCATCCAAAGGGCGGCCTGTGATTATAAATAAACTCCCTCCCCCCCCTTCACCCCCTTATCCCCGCAGAGATGCCACCGGGGCCCCGTCTCAGCCCCGCCCCGTTTCCCATGGGGCCGCAGTGGCCACCTCCCAGCAGGCAAAGCACTCTTTTGTTCAATTACAGCTAATGCAGTAGTTTTGCCATTTCTCTCCCCCCCCCCTCTTTTTTTCTTCTACTTTCTAATTATATTTTCAAATGGAAGTTGTTAGAGAATTACAACAAAAAGGACACGAATAAAAGAAAATCACATCCTTTTTGCGAGCTGAAGCTCTTGGGTTTTTCACTCCTCACCGCTTGGGATCCCTGGGGGGTTGGCTGTGCAATTCCTCCTCAGCTCTGCATAAACAAGTTCGGCTTTTTTTTTTTACGCCAATGATTTGGAAGGAGTTGGCTAAACCTGTCGTTAACTGTTTGTGTTTTGAACATGTGGTCTGGATTACCTCACTTCTGATGTTCTCTGGAGTCACTCGGTCATGCATGGGTGTTTCATTTTTTTCTTGTTCCATGGTCAGAAAAAAAAAAAGCTACTAAAGAGAAAGGAAAAAGAGAAACAATCATCATGCTTTTTATCCATGTAAAAATCTGTGTTTACCCACCCTGTCCCTACATCCTAGTCAAGCCTTCATGCAGTGACTTTATTCTTTATTGAAAAGCCTCAGAGTCTAATTTGGAAAACGATTATATCGTCCATGTAATCACTGGATTATAATTTCATAGCCTGGGAACATCAAAGGAGCTCTAATCCGCCCCAAATGTGTCGAATTTGCTGACTTGTATCTTCTCTATATTATTCCACTTAGTCTATATTCTGTTTTAAACAAATACAGTGTCATGGAATAATGTCTACTTTTATTTTATAAAGCAAAAAAAAAATCAACTCCAAACCCTTCACGCAACAGCAGCAGTGCCAATCGTAGCATCCCAATTGAAACCAGTTGTTCCCTTCCCACAGCGTTCCTCTCCTCTCCTTCCTTTCTTCCTGCTTGTGGGTTTCTGTCACTCATTTCTTCACAAAAAGACCTAAAAGCAATGCGTGCACTCCGCTTTGCCCCCTTGATATCTGCCTCATTTGATTTCACAGAGCGAAGATAGGCCTGCACAGGTGTTGGAGGGGCATGATAAGTGTTTGTGTCGCATGTGTTCTGTTTGTTTGTGATATCAAGTTGTATCTTAGACATTTAATTCCATTTCCCTTCTCCTGTGACGTCTCCTTTCTCACCCTGCCTTTAGCGCTAATGTTGCTTCACAGAGCGCTAGGAGACATCTGGTTTAGTTTCAGTCACATGTCGCTGCTCTGTATTCAGTGGGCCTTTGTGTTTTCTTACTGTTTTTGCATACATTCATTTATATATTTTGCTAAAGTATTCATCTCCTTTGATTTGTTTTTCACTTTTTGCCAACATAAAATGGGAACCATTGATGTATTTTAGGGGAGTTGCATGTCATAGACTAACATAAATGGTTACGGCAATTTATTTTCTTTACAAATAAAACCTCTAAAGCTGTTTGACATGCATTTTAAACAGCGCCTCTGAATTAATACTTCATAAAACCTTTTTGAACAACTGAAAACACTTAATGTTCTTGGCAATATTAAGTCAGCTTGGATGGACAGCATTTGTGGACATCAGTTATTGATACTTGGCACATTTTTCTATATAGATTCAAACATAAATGTTTCCTTGCTAGTACAAAATGTATAATTTATACCATTTCATTGAAGCTCTGGCTTTTTTGCTCCTTTCCTACTGCATGTGGAACTTCCTCCCATACATACAAGTGTTTAGGAGTCTTTGAGAGGATGGCTTCTTAGGTTGTTGGTTGTTTATGTTAAACATTTAATAAAAAATCAGTAAAATTATACATAGTTGAAAGGATGTAGGATAACGTTTGGATAGGGGATAGCGATATGCAGTACACATGTAAGTGAAGAATAAAATCCCAAATAAAACAAAACATACCTCACAATCGAGCAAGAACTGCATCCATCATCAGAATAACAGTCCAGCTTCCCTGCCCTTGCAGAGGCAAACCATCCCCACAGTAAGATGCTGCCACCACCATGTTTCACAGTGGGGATGTTATGAACAGATTTACCAAAAGCCAAAAATGTTTAATTTTGGTCCCATCTAACCAGTTCATCTGTTTCCACGTTTCCCAATTCTCCTACATGGCTTTTTTTTAAACAAATTTTACAATCAATTTTTGATCGATTTCTTTTATCAGCTTTTCGTTTTGTTACTTTGCCATTTAGACCAAATTTGGTTGAGCAGATGATTTGAAGCTGTCCTGTAGCATCCTCGCCCTTCTGCTTAGTGGCCAGAAAACAGACAGATCTTAAACCTATTTCCTTTAATGGCCACACCTGATATACTGTAAGTGGGTCAGAGAGGACGTCAGGTTTAATAGTAAAGAAAGAAATAAGACAGAAATATTTGAGTTATCCACAATCACTGCATTATGGATAAGTCTTACTTATCCACAATTCAGTCACATTAAATCCCTGGAAACTCCCCTGTTTATTGTAGTGAAAACGTGAAAAGGTTCAGGGGGTTGAATCCTTTAGTGACTATATGTAGCAACACATGTCTGGCTGTAAGTGATGAAGGCTGAGATGTCTTACTAACTGTTTGATTGTATTTGTTGCCTGCTTCCCTATCTGTTTACACTATTTGTGGCGTGTGGTCATTATGTCTTCAGTCCTCGCTGGGTCATTTGCTAACCACCGTCCAGTGTGCAGCTGACACTCATCCGGCCGTAGACATATTCAACTTGCTATATATAAACTCCGGAGTCTCTCATCTAGTCAGTAGATACATGGGCAGAGCTTCAGTTTGTATCAGCAAAGTAGATTTTTTTGTTTTTTTCATTCTCAAACTTGGCAATAGGTTTACATTTCCATTTGTTTTTAGTCAGCCTCAGCAGGGTTGGTGTTGAATTTCATTTTGTTTAAGGAAAGATTGTTGAAAAGAATTTGCTTATTCAATTTTGTTTTTCGCTGTGCCCAAATTGAAATCTAGCTTCATATGAGTAGGACTGGTGTAGGGCTGGATTTATACTAATGGGGCAATACATGACTTATTTACCTCTTACTCTGCTCGGATGACTTCACTCCCTGGTGATTTCCGTAGCCTATCTTAGGTTGTAGCTGTTTTGTATTTTCATCTGCTAGTGGTTTAGGCCAAATGGAGGCGGCTGCGGATTGCATGCTTCAGAAAGCTGGGAACCGAAGCAACATGTTTCCTCTCTTTTCAGCTGGATTGGTCTTTTTTAGAAACGTCTTCTAATCTGCATTTCATAAAGAAAACTGTTGCGGGGCCTCCCGTATTGTATGATGGGCTACTTGAGACATAATCATGACTTCATTTCGTTTCGATTCAGCTTTTATGCCGTTGTTCTAGAAATGCTCAGATCAGTCAGAGGGAATGGCATAAGTAATTTTTTGTCTTTGATCATCTCAGATCTGTGGTCAGCATGTAGGATATGAAAAAAAACTTTTTTCCTATGTATAAAATATATACAACAAAAAATAAATAAGTAAATAGATTTAGAGATACAGCGTCTTGCCAAAAGACATCACATTTTTATGAATGTGTAATTTTCTTTAGGAAAAGTGTATTTGATTATTTTTTAATTTAATTCAATTCAGTTTATATATATATATATATATAGCGCCAGTTTATTTATATAGCGCCAATTCAAAACACAAGTCATCTCAAGGCACTTTACAGTTCAACCCTGTTCAACCCTATTCATAAACATGAACTGATTTATTCCTAATTAATAACAAATAAAAGAGTTTATAGCTTACCTCTTCTTTGCTGTGTCTCCCCTCTACAGACATCCTGGAACAGAGACCACGACGACACAGCGTCCACACGCTCTGGAGGTACGCCGGGACCGTCTAGCGGTGGACACACGTCACACAGCGGGGACAACAGCAGCGAACAGGGTAAGGGTTAATGTGCTGGAGGAGTATAATTAGAGCGCTAGGATAATAAGATTCTCAGTGTGTTTATTTTTCTATATGACATAAAGAACAGTTCTTCATGTGCTTGGCACTGCAACAGTTTAGATCACCATTACAAATGTGCTTAAAGACCTAAGTTGTTTAGAACATGAAGAATGTTCTCCCAACAATTATAAGCAGATTCTATCACAAGTTGATCAAGTCAGCTTTTCACTTATTTGTGTCTAGAGCTCTAAATTTGATGTTTTCTTTCCTTTTGCCTGTGCATTGTAGGACTATGTCTGTTTTAAAGACAGTCAGACACACACAGGCAACAATAGGAGGATGGGTTTTGTTGGGATTAATGCAGCAAACAAACTGCAAACAGAAATGCAACTTAATATATTATTGAAGTTGATGTCAAGATAAGTAGTGTGCAGGGTTGCCTGTGCCAGGAGGCAGAGCTTGGTTATGAGCAGAGGACATTGCCATGTGTTTCAGCCCCAAAAAGCCTCCACTTATGAAGTCAACACAGATACACTGTGTCTCCTACTGAAGCTCTTTTTTTGCCAGTACTGGTCAGCACTGAGGACTTAGACATTAGTTTAGACAGAAATGAAAAATAGATCACATGGAACACGCTGATGAAAGAGCTCTGAAATTACAGCAAACTCAGGCTGAGACAAAGAGACATTGTACAAGTGTGTGTCCACTCCTCTACCTTTGATGCGTAATAGTCTGGAGCAGCCAGCCAAGAGCTGATTGGCCGCTCTAATGAGCGTGCTCTGTGCCGAGTTTGGGCTACTGCTTCCATGACCTTTGCCCCTTATTGACCAAAACTGACACTTCATTTTTCACATCTTTCCAATTATAGACTGGCTCCTTATATTCTCCCCCATTGCAATGACTCTATCTCATCATCTCTCTGTCACCTCCGATCTCTGTTTTCCCAACTCTGTTTGAGCTCTTGTATGTTTTTGTTTGCCATTGGAGTTCATTAGAGGGTAAAATGTGGGATAGTGAGCACTGAAAGTTTGTTGGTGAGTCTGAGAATTTTAAATTCTTTGATTTATTAAAGGGCATATAAATGCCACTCCTGCCCTTATACATATTGATGAATTTGCTACATTTTTCTAATTAAGTTTAACCCAAGAGTTCTACCTCTAAGAAAAGATATCTGACATATTGATGTTCAAAATAACAAAAGGTTTTACTAATCAATAACCCTGTTTTAAAATATCCATGTAGAATAATTCAGTCCAGCTTTAGCTTGCCCATATATTTACATTTTTGCCTTATTTTTTCTCATCCAATTTAATCCTGATGCCAAAAAACTGCCCTTTAGGGAGCACTAATACTAACATGGAGGAAGATGACAACATTACTATTGTTAGTGGCAAGCTGTAAGAATTAGATCAGGTACAACCAATGGAAATCTTATTTCTGTTAGTCAATGAATATATGACCATTGACTTTTAGTAAATAGGCTTTAGATTGTCTAGATTCTGAACAGAAGATTCAGACTCATTAATAGAATTAAAGTAGCAGTTTTCTTTAATACCAATTAGCCGCTAACAGTTATCCTGTTGGTTTATTATCACAAATCAACCAACTCTTGTAACAAGTAGAGGTTCTTCAGGACCCTTTCTAACAGCAGTTTATCGGTTTTGTTGGCCGACCCCAGCAGAAGCTGTTTTGTGTGTTGACTCTATTTGTACCAAATAGACAACTCAAAAACCATTTCCTTTCTTACTTCAAAATAAGAGCACCACACATGGATATAAAAGGATCTCAAGGTTAAATCGCACAGCTTAAAGATAAGCTTGAAGCTTCGAGAATTTAAGAGAATGGAATCAGTTTTAAATAATCTGGAAATTCATCTCTACATGTCACCTTTCATGAAATGTTGCAATATTAATGATTTGGTTACAGGATTTTCTGCTCAGGTGTGACTAAACTTAACTAGAAGACAAATTTAAAACAGTAAACTCTGGAAAGGATTTTCTTAAAACATGGCAAATGGCTTAGCTTTAGTCAACTCTTTTTAACAAGACGAAGGGATGCAACAACAGAAATCTATTGTGTAACATTTGTGTAACAAGCTGATGGCAACTGTTTACATGTTTAACCATTCAGGGCGTCTTTTAATCTATATATTTTTAGAACCAGGTAGTTTCAGACGACTCCTCCGTGTTAAAGCTGTTTCATGGGAGCCCACATAAACAACAGCCTCCCATAGCATCAGAGCGCAGTGACAACAGTAAATGCCGCAGGACATATTGGACGCCGTTCAGGTTTATATGGGTTAGAAGCTATCACTGCCACGTCATACTGGCTCGGGTAAATTCTGTGTCATTCACTCGGTAATCCCAGTAAGCTGGTTATTTATCTGTTTGGCACTTTGCTCACTTTCTACCCGACAGCTTAACCCTGTTGTCTCTCTTCCCTTCTCTCTCACTCTTTCATCTTCATGTCTAACCTCCACTCTTAACCCCCCCTTGCAGTTTTCCCTTGTCTCCCACCTACACTCCAGTCTCTCTTTCATTTGACTGTCAGTTTGTTCCTCTTTCCTGATGTATCCCTCTACTTTCTCTCTCTCTTTCTCCTCCCCCATTTTTCTTCTGTGCCTCCCACTCAGTCTCGAACATCACCTTTTGTCTATCCCTCTTTTTTCCTTCTATCCCTCTCTTTGTTCCCAGTGTGTTCTCCTTGATTCCCTTCCTTTTTTGCCTACTTTGTCCCTGTTTATCCCTGTGTATTAACCTCTAGTGTGTCTCTTTTGTGATATTCATATTTCTTTCCAACTTGCTTATCCTTCTTGAACAATGTGTTTTTACCGTTCTTCATTACTTCATCAACAATATCTAATTGCTAAATTTAATGAGACACTTGGCTTCACACACATTAACTTTTTACGTAAGCTTTGAAATTAAGTTACCCAACTCTTTCCCGCTGGAACAGCTTCATCTGTTCTGGGGAGAGTTTCTAAAAGGGTTAGGAATGTGTTGATGGGGAATTTTTAAGAATTTCTTCTGGGGAACAGGTCCAACTCTTAAGTTGGATGATCCAGCCTGTTATGAAGTCTCAAGTCAGATGCATTAACTAGAAGAGGCAATACCCAAACTGTTTTCTCTCATGGCTATCCATTGTGACACAAATAGTTTTCACAGGAACTCTATTAAGGCACCACCTTTTCTCGTTGTGCCACATAAAACCAAGTCTTCTGCCCAGATCGCCTGTAATACAGAGAGTGACAGTGGAGAATCCCTCCTTAAGTGGCTTTAAGGTGATGAGGATAGGCTTTAAAATTAGAAAGGAATTTGGTTGAAGCTAAAAATGTATTATTGGAGAATTCTTCAGCATTAACAATTTTTCTTGGAACAGTCATAGAGAGTGGTTTGTTTTTAAAACCAAATTACATAAACAGTATTAAAGACTTGTAAAGTTTAATCGAGGTATTTTTTGAAAGGAAAGTCAAGTCTCGCTAAGTTTTTCAACCCTACATATCAACCGCTTAAGAAAATATTGATCACTTATCCTCAATCACTCTGAGACCTTCCCCACTTTCTCCTTTTCTGATTCCCTCGTGCTCCTCTGCTTATCATCTGCTCTCCTTCAGCCTCCTTCCTCCAACAGTTGAAGCATTTCAAATAAAAGATGCTGGAAAGACACAGCCCTTTAACGAGTGATCTCATCTTTTTTTTTTTCTTCCTTTTTTTTCTGGGGCTATTACTGAGGAAAAAAAACACATGTTCTGCTCTGGTCTCCTTTCTTAACGGGTCATTGCCCAATGGTATAAAAGCTGCTGTTTTTTTTACCCGGAAGTGTACTCTTATTTTTTGGAAAATCAAAGAGTTAGCGGAACCGTGAGAACTGTGGATTGAAATAATATGTTTTTTTTTTTTTTTTTTTATGATAAGATAGTTAAAGATAACTCGTAAACTTGCAGATGTTTTGCAGAGCTTTTACAGTCTCAAAAAGGCGACAAAGAGAAGCCTGGCTCTTATTTTTACATGTGGTGACAATTCTCACATGCTGCATCCTCATTTATGGTGTTTATGCTTTGACCACAATGCCCATGGTATTTTTTTGCACTGAATTCCATTGGCAGTCACAGAAAATAGAGGGAGGATCACATTTGTTTCACATATGTCATTAAAATCAGTTCTGGGTGTCTTCTTTTTCCCCTAAGAGCATACAAAGAAGAAAGAAGCTTGTTTTTCTTTTTTATTTCTCCTCCTTTTCTTCTGGAGATCTTTGTAACCATCCAGAGAGTGCTGACAAGAAGACTCCAAGAGCTACCCTGCAGTTAATTAGTCCCACTCTATTAGTCCAGCTATGTCTTAACTAGTTCCTACCAACAGCCATGCTTTGTTAACACTCACAGCAGCCTTGGATCATGCTCTTGTATGAAAAGTGATGCTCTGAGGGTAAAGGAAAAGCTAACAGATCATGCGCTCATGATGGTGGGGAGTCCCTCATGCATACGAGTGAGTCTGCTCTTTTCTTGCCATATAAAGTGACTCCTCTTTGCCTGTGTGAATTTGTAAGGACACCCCTCGGCTTCTCCGAGTGCCTAGAGTCTGAGGGAAACAGAATAAAACTCAGGAGCGGGTTGGTCAGCTGCAGCCAGGCGGTGGTGAGCTGAGCGTGTTGTTTGCTGTCTCGTTCTGAAAGCTACAGGGTCTGCTTCTTTGCTGCTCTGAATCGTCCTGGGAGTGAGGCGATGACTGGTGATATTAGATATGTATCACCAATTACCCAGACCGTCTGTGCAAAGCACAGAGTGCCGGGCCAAGACAAATGGCTCCCTGTTAGGCTTTGTGTTGGTGTCTGCATTTGTTGCTGGTGTTTAACTATTATTCTGAGATATCTGAGTTTATGATATTCAGCTCCTGATGTTCAATTCAATGGATTTGTGCCTAAAAAACATGTCATTTGCAAAACGTTTTGGCACAGATATAATTTCCTTATACTTTCAACAAGCTAGACCTACTTCTTTG